AATGTTTTTATCTGTATTTTTGTGTATCATTGTATCTGTGTGTCTGTACATCTGTACCTGTATGTATGTCAGTGTGTGTATGTGCATGTGTGTCAGTGTTTGCTTCTGTGTATCTGCAGGTGTGTGTGTGTGTGTGTGTATCTCCCATCTATATGTGTGTCAGTGTTTGTTTATGTGTGTCTGCAAGTGTGACAGTTTGTGTGTCTGTGTCAGAGGAGAAGCAGGGAGAGCCTAGGGAAGAGAAAAAGGGGGTATGGAACAGACTAAACGTATACATTTGAAATAAATGCAACTATATTAATTACAAGCATTTTGTTACTGGAAGAGGTACAATTTATGAAAATGGGCTGCCAAGGGGTATTTCAGTAAAAAAAAAGGTTGGTTCCAAACCCAGTCCTCATGGCCCACCAACAGTCCAGGTGTTGTCAGTATCTCCGTTGGAATAAAACAGGGAAATACATGAATCTTGGATTGTTGGTGGTCCATGAGGACTAGGTTGGGAAACATTGATTTAAATTATATTTATGCTATTTACTTTGACATGCTGCCACCTAGTGGCCAAGTTTCGATGTGTGAGGAAAGTCAATATAGTCAGTTGCTTGACCTTTAAAGAAATGTGGATATCCAAGGTTTTTCAGAGGCCTATTCTGCTACCTTGGCATTAATAATTTATATATGTACATGCGCACGCACACGCAATATTAGATAGGTGATATAAAAATGCTCTAAAGTAAAAATGCTTTCAGAATATAGAAATGTTAATTGTTTATTTTTATCAATTAACAAAAGGTAAAGTGAGTGTACAGAAGAAAAATCTAAATCAAATCTATATTTGATTTTTTGCCTTCAAAACAGAATCCATTTTTCTAGGTACACTTGCACACAGTTTCGTAAGGAACTCTGCAGGTCAATTGTTCCAAACATCTTGGAGTATCACCATGAGTTCTGTGGATTTACGTAGCATCAGCTAGCTACTATGCCGATATAGAGTTTGTCTGGAGGGGCGTTTGTCCACTTGCTGATGCGTTGTAGGTTAACAGCCTGGTGGTACTTGGATAGATCAGGAAGTCCTAGGCAGCTCTGCTGTTTAGGTTTCGTGACAATGGTATACTTCAATCTAGCAGTTCGATGTTGCCAGATATAATCCATGAATGCCTTTCTCGCTGCAGCGAAAGTCTGGGGGATAGAAATCAGTAGAATCTGCAGTAAAAATACTTTTTCAGAATTTTATAATGCAGTAAACTCATATAACCACTACTAAGAAATAACAGTAAACTAAATCGTATGTTTTGACAGTTGAAAATATATAATATATAACAGAATGATTAGACAAGTGAAAGAACAGTTGATAATCAAGTAAGTGTATATGGGCTTATCGATTTCCTGGTTTTGTTGCGGCATTGTAAAACAGGAATATGGATTTGATCAATATATATGTAAAAAAAGTGGTTGATTAGCAGCTGGACAAGGCCCTTGTGAACCATCGCTAGGACCACAAGTGGGGCACACTCTACTTAGTATCTGGGTTTACCGCCTAAGAGCACTCTTCGTGGCACAAAAAGACCTAAAAAGACTGAATGAAAGCCAATAGGGAATATTATTTTGTACTTTGTGTTTCATTCGATTCTGAATGGCCATTCAGCAAATTCCACAGTTTACACTTAAACTATACATTTTATTATCATAGGCCTGACCTCCACTTCCTGTTTGCTTACTTATTTTTCTCTTTTTAACTGAAACTGAAAGAAAGGAAACCAGTTAGATGTGTTATGTGTGGTCTAAATAATTTCATATGGTGTTTAAAGGCTGATTTCAACTTGTTATTAATCATTTCTTAAGCCATGCTGAACCATGTAAACGATATGTTAATATATCTTATGGGTCCAGAAGAACACACAGAATGTAATGACTTACAGATTCGCTACTGGAAAGCTTCTAAGAGGGATTCTGCCGACAGTTGTTATGTCCTTGTTACTGAATAGGCTATTACAAACATGAGAGATTGTGCAAGAGGTTTTGAGCCAAGCAATACAGGAATCTGATAATCCTGACTTGTGAGACCATGGACATTTATTCATGACAACAACTTGGTTAGTTAAAGAAAAAATTGGCCTGATCAGAGAAGCCACAGAATCATAAAGACACAGACTATATCGGACCCACCATGTTAAATGAGTTATCTTGCAACCACCACAGGTCATCCTCAATCTAATCTTCTTGGTGACTTTTTATTTTTTTTATTATTCATTATTTTTTGTTTTGCATAAGAGTACAATTATGCTGGCGATGCCACGATGACAATAGCTAAGAGTGCACATATTTTAGACTAAAGGTAACAAAAGTGACAAGCTAGGCAGTCATGTCTAACTGTTAAGAGCTAAACTAAGTCATACAAGGCAGATGTTAAATAAAATACAAAGAACCAGCTAGACCTTTATATTATAGATAAATATAAACACTAATTTGTGTCAAACATGTATACAAATAAGCTCTGTGTGGCAAAAGTATCCTTGCCACTGGTTTTTGAAGGGACCTGTTTGCCAGCCTCCTACCCTGTGACTACCACGAGGTGGTGGCCATCTTGTTCGCATGGACCAAAACCGCGAATAGCCTTAAGGTTGACTTAGCCGTGAATGACCTGGAACTATTTTCGGCATGAAAACTTTGCGGTTCCCAGTCGGTCCTCCATTGGCCACGATTCTATGGGACTATTTTCAGCTATGGGACTATGCCTGCGGTCAGTCAAATGACTTCCATGAAATTCCTGAACCCCTAAACTGATCTGTGTGATTTTTGGATATGCTGGTCACCCAGATCAGGGCTATCAGGGGATGTTGTGGGGTTTTATGTATTTTTAGGGTACTTTTGGGGTGTTTTACAAAAGTCTGTTTTTTTTCTGTGCTTGGAGATAATTGGATTAGAATTAGTACAGTTACTGATCCAATTATCTCCCAGGCAGAGGGGAGAGCATGTGTGCTGTGTGTGGGAGTGCCTTGTAACCTTATTGTTATTGGTCTGTGAAGTTGCAAATCAGTCCCCCACAAGGTCCATGTGGGCGTACCCCTTGCATAGGGATTGTCATATAAGTCCAAGTGTGGCTCCTGTCAGAGTATTTATATCGGCAGACATTTTGTGCTATGATAGAAACTAAAAGTGTATATTCTGAGTCACTCTGAACAGATCAGACTCCATTTTGTTATTCCAAGTTAACAAAAACAAAGAGACACAGGATTTCTTTCTGTAAGACTGGCCTCTTTGCCAGAGCTAAGGAATGCATAACATAGTATAAACAAGTGATAAGAAGAATATAATCAAATCTAAACCCAGACAATTGTGACAGAGAAGATTAAAAAAAAATTAACTGTCTATATATATATATATATAAGGTACCATTGTATGGAAAAGGGTAAACTTAGTTCATGATCTGTCATATCAGAAATTATGGCAGGAATTGCAGACGCTAAGTCTGGACAAAATTTAAGAAACCCTTTGAAATTTTAAATTATGGCACTATAAAGATAACGCAAAATGACGTCAAAATAGCCACCAGGAAAAGTTAACTCTTTCCTGGATAGGTATGTTTAGTGGGACAAGACTGCCCTCTATAGACCAAATAACTAAATTGCGATCTGGAAGATAACCACACCTCTAGTGCTTCTATTGGGTTATCAACTGATGACGTACAGAGAGTCTGGCCCTTTAAAAGTTAGGACAAAGGGAAGATAGAGAGGCAGGGTATGCAAGAGATGCAAAGAAAAAAAAGAGGAGAGAGGAATTGGAAGTTTGGGGACTCCAACCTCCATGCAGAGAGACATCCAAATAAGTTCCTGAGACTACCAATCGGATGAAATATCTACTCAACTGGTAATTATACTGGTTTCATTTAATTAATTAATTAAAATGTATTAATAGCATTATATATGACTGGATAAAGCACGGTCAAATTTCCATATTAAGAAATCTTAGTTAACTAAGAATATATAGTTATAAACATTCCATTCTGCAGGTGGAATTAAGAATAATTATATATTGATGTGATATTATCACGTGTTAGCATACCGCTGTTTTTATCCAGGTGTATTGATTTGCTCTAAATTAAGATAGATATCTTTTAGACAAATTAAAAATCTGCTTATATAATATGGTAGATTCTCTTATTGGATGATTTCAGAAAATGACTAATGAACTGGGTTAAATGTTATTTTATTTAAAAATTACATAAGAATAGATCTTAACTACCTAGGAGATCTAGCCAGCATTGAAAGGGTTATTCTAACTGTCTGCTAAACTTTACGACCTTACGCTGCACTCTGAGGAATTCTGTTCTTCGCTGTGAAAAGTTTCACTTTAAGTCTGTGAAAGATAGTCATAAATAAAGTTCTGACAGAAAATGCTTAATAGCCATTGAAACGTAATACCCATTTCTTTGTATTGCATATCATTTTATACTGGATATTCATTGATTATTGTCATGCATGTTACATGTTATTATTAATTAATTTGTCATCATAAATAAAAATCTATTTTTATACATTGTGATATTAATTATATGAAATACATTCCACTTAACACGATAAACGTTCTTTGGGATCTGAGAATTGAATTAGTGGGCAATTCTCACTGTTACTATTATTATCCCATAAATATCCCCACACTCCCATTAAACTGAGATTTGTTTACCCCTTTATGAAGTCTTGGCTCATGTTTGGGGGATTGGAGGACTACATTCACTCTGGGGATTGCTACATCACAATACTCCCCTGAGTATAATCACTAGCTCTTATAAGAGCTGTTGCTGATATGCTCTCTGGACTAGGAGAGGTCTACCCACTGGAAGCTGGATCCAGTGTGGGTGGGTCAAGGGTGGGTGGAGGACGGCAAGACCCCAACCAAGCTGCAGCGGTTTGTGGGGATGTTGGTCATGGTGTTCCAGTACAGTGCTTATGGTACTCGCAAGTACTAGGAAGCAGCGATTGACGGAGGTACCTGGTCGGGATGCCAGGCGGTCCGTCACACTCCCGTTCCATGGGTATTCTATGATGGAAAAAGAAAGAACAAAAGGCCAATCATGAGATAAAACATTTGATTAAACATATCTGTGTAGTGCCAAAAAGGTTGATATTGTGGTCATAAAGTATCGGCATTCAGGAATCATTCAACACCACAGATAGGACTACTCAGCCGATGCCCGTGGATAGGAGGCTACTGACATAGGGATTCAAGAGTCTACTGTGATATAGAGTGGCACAACAACAGCTCCAGGTGGGGATGTGATCATGCTTTTTGCCTCTGTGAGTCCAGCAATGTCCAAACTCATGAATAGGACCCTGGGACCGCCTCAATGCATACTGTAGGATGTGCTGAGAGGGAACTCTCCAACAGCACAGGTTGCACTTGAAGATTTGGCCTCCTCTGGAGTGCCATGCAGGGCCACGACGGCTCGGCATAATGGAAGGTAAACCGCATGCCTGTGTTGGTTGCAGCCCCCACATTCTTCTCGCCACCACCCAGCTTCGGCAGTTATGTGCCAGTTCAATCTCCTCAATGTCTTGCGATGGCTGCTTGGGTGAATCCCTGCCATGGGGCGTCAGCCCACAGACCAGATCCGGAAGACTCTGCCTTGGCTGATTGGAAGAGTGGTGAGTACGTGGGTGCTCAGTTTCACCCAGAACTGGTCACTCAGCCTTTCCAAGGCCTCAAGAAGCCGATCAACAAAAATGGCTGGTCTTGGGAAGGTCTGTGGAGCAGCAGGTCCCAGCACAATGGCCATCTTTGGTAGTAGGACTCAGTCTCTTGAGTAGCTGTGAATCACAATATTGCTTGTAGTAGTATGCCACAAGACCATGGATAAACCCTGCTGGTCGAAAGGGGGGAACAGGGTCAAAAGCAGATTATTTCCAGACCCAGGCAGAGGAGTGGCCGTCTCCCCCACCTCGAGTACTTCTACCGGACACAGAGAAACCTCTTATGGGCTATGCCCATCGGAATCAAGCATAATCAGGCCAAATGTTCGCCAGGGTGCTCCTCAATAAAGATAAGCAAGTTTGTGCCAAATATGTAACGCTACTGTTCAGGTCTAGGCTACGTAAATGGAGCTCCAGCAACATGTGACCATCTTGGTCAGCTATCAGGCTTCGCACCCCATCTTGGACATTTTTAAATAGGATCCTAGGTTTAAACAATAAGTATCCTCTGTGCTGGTGGAAGCTGAGCATTGGTTTGTCAGTGTCCCAGAATGTCCAAAGTGTCATATACATAGGCATTGATTGAAAATATATTTTTCCAGTCTTGCAGCTTTAAATCTCTCCTCTATCTCTAGTTAGTAGTAACCTGCACAATTGTACTTTTCCTTATTCATCAAGGACAAAACAGTCTACAAAAGTTAATTGGCTCCTAGTTTTGAAAGCCATGAGGTTACAGAGGGCCAGAATTCCTAAAAGGCCACATTCTCAGGGGGAGACATGCAGTAGAGAGGCAACTTGGCCAGTGGTCAAAGATCTCCCTAACCAGCCAGCTCATTCTCATGTGGAGGGGTTGAAGCCTACAGGGGAGATCAAGGGATCTCTCATGCAGAGCCATTGGTACTCAAGCACAGGCCCAGAGCGGGAGTTCCATTGTCGATGGGGAGAAAACACACACGCTACAGCCCCAATTCCAAACCCACACACACACACTCAAGAGCACCAATATCCCCCCCAATATACCTTACAGTTCATATTCTCCCCAACACACACACAATACAGCCCCTATTTAAATGTACACACACACACTATATCGTAAACAGCACCATCCAGACACAGAACCCTACAATAGCCTTCAAATGCAAACCTACAAGCAGCCTTCTCCTACACCTGCAACCCCATAAGCAGCATCTCCCCCACACATCCCCCACAAGCGGCATCCATACACAAAACTCCACAAGCAACATACATTCAACACCACAAGAAAACTGCTGAACCAATCTTTCCTATGTAGTTTAACAAGAACTATTTATGAGCTATTCCCTTTTCCCCTCTGCACTAAATACCTATTCTGCAGAACCCGGGTATTACTATTCCTCTTCATAGTAACACCCTGTAAATAAAATGAATCCACTTTGATTTAATTTCCTGCTCTTAAAGGACCACTATAGGCACCCAGACCACTTCAGCTTAATGAAGAGGTCTGGGTGCCAGGTCCAGCTAGAGAGAACCCTTTTTTCTATAAACATAGCAGTTTCAGAGAAACTGCTATGTTTATATTAGGGTTAATCCAGCCTCTAGTGGCTGTCTCATTGACAGCCGCTAGAGGCGCTTGTGTGGTTCTCACTGTGATTTTTCACAGTGAGAAGATGCCAGCGTCCATAGGAAAGCATTGTGAATGCTTTCCTATGAGACTGGCTGAATGCACGCGCGGCTCTTGCCGTGCATGCGCATTCAGCCGAGGAGAGGAGGAGGAGGAGAGCTCCCCGCCCGGCGCTGGAGAAAGAGGTAAGTTTAACCCCTTCATCACCCTAGAGCCCGACGAGTATGTTTTCCTGGCACTATATTGGTCCTTTAATGAAGGATGAAAACATGGCAAGTGGTCCTGGCTGTGTGGAAGGACATCCGTTATCAAAATAAACTGCATATAAGTATAAGCTGCAGTTTGAGATTTAGAGTGTTACACCAGTGCAGGCTCCAATCCTTGTACAACATGCTGCCCCATCATAATGTTTATCCAACTGGCCAGTGACAATCGAGTGTAAAGACATGTTTCACCATTCCAGCATGCCAATGAATCTAGATGGAGCCCAAAATCCAGATAGGGAACCCTAGTTACACATTATAAACAAGGTCTGTCTTACAGAAAATGTTTATTAAGATCATCAAGGACCAAACAGTGTACATCATATCAGCCTACAGGTATAAATCAGGCTGCCTTAATACATTATTAAGATGCAGACAGGAGCCGCACTCAATCCAAACGAGCACTCGGTGCACTGGAACAGGACCAGCAATCCCACAACGATAACACAACAAAAAGAAAATCAGAATGTTCAAGCCGCAGGCAGAACAAAAAAAGAACAAAAATGTTTCGACCTGCCAGGAGGTCTTGGTCAAGCTTGACAAAAACCTCCTGGCAGGTGGAAACTTTGCTGTTTTTTTTTTTTTTTTTGTACCATTAAATCTGCCTGAGGCTTGAACACCCTGGAGATTCTTTTTGTTAATACATTAACATTAATATTAAGGACTGCTGGCCAAAACTTTGTGTACTAAATTTAAATAAATCCCTTATATGCTGCTTTTTTTGTGCGATGTATATACTCTATTGATAAGTATACGATTATAAGAGCATTTCTGGGAAGCTCTCATCCTACCTGAGTAGAATGCTCACCCCAGCTGTTCCCACCTCCTATAACCTCCGATTCAGTACTAGCACAATATTAAGCATACCGCAATACAAAAATAAAGTGGCTCGATCCTCCTTTTCCTACAGAGCACAGCAATTATGGAATAACCTCAGGGACACAGTCAAATCTTCATTCAATCTAATATCTTTTAAGAGATCTATGGCAATATACCTCCGCACAGAATGCACCTGTCATGGTTGAATATATGTATTAAATTGTATTAAATATATATGAGTGTGTGTGTGTGTGTGTGTATGTATATATATATATATATATATATATATATATATATATATATTGTAATTTTTATAATATTGTATCCTATTGTAACAATGCAATGTTTTGTGGACTCAGCATATACTTGAAAACGAGAGAAATCTCAATGTATCCATCCATTTAATAAATAAAAAATAAATAAATATACAGTTTCCAAATATATGTAAAGATATTGCCTATGCTTTCTAAGCACCAATTTCTTAAAGAACACTCCAAACACCCTAACTACTACATCCCATTTTAATGGTCATAGTTCTAGGTGTGCCCTGTTGCGGCACTAGCGTAATTTATCAAACTATTTCAGAACATTTTGACAACATACCTGGGTGCTCCAACAGGAGAAACAGATGTCCCTATTTAGTTAAGCATGGCCAATCGATGACTACACTAATTGCCTGAGCAAAGCCCTGCTTCAGAAGAACCAAATTCACCTCCAGTAGAATCCTGGAACCAAGGTATGGGCGCGTTCTGTAATGGTTTGACCAATTACACAGGGAGATGCTCCTGGCACAATAACCACTACAGTGCTTGGATTGTTACTTTCATCTGCCATTAAAACAGAAAAACAATTGAATCAGAAAAAATGTGTTTTAAAAAACATTGTCATTTAAACAGATAAGAAAGAATTACAAATTTGTAGATTTACACCAAAATATTGATTTTGACATTTATAGCCATTCTCCATTGACAAAATCCTGAATTACCTCATTATTGTGCTGGTAAAATTGTTATTAATCTTTCTTCTCTAGGCAACAGTTTCCAATCAAGTCAATTAATTTTCAGCCTGTGTGATAGCTCCCTAATTTCTAGGATATTAAGCACTTAATATGTTGTGTCATTTCAAATCACATATTAAATATGGCAAACTGCATTTTAATGAGGGTTTAGTGATGTGAGAATGGTATTGCCAAAGCAAGATTCTTTTTCTTCATCATTATTTTACACACACCCCATACAGTGTGACTGAACTTGAGTTATGGCCTGCATCAATTGCATGTTGTTAACCCTCTGCAGGCTTTAAATTGTCTGTAAACTAATGCATATGCTTATAGTGACCTGAATTCTGAGTAGATTTCACATTTTTAGACACAATAACCGCTTTCAAAAAATGAATCAAAGAGAGCGCAAGAATTAGCTATAACATAGAAAACAATAAACAATAACTGTAAATGGCAGTAGGCAAATAAAATAGAATAAAATAAATCAGCTGCTGAAACATGCAAGACTTTCCCATGTTTTGAATCGAAATTGTAAATCACAGTGTCAGTGTTTTCACCAGGGTGTCACCAGTCAGACTTGAAAAATCTGAGATCCTAAATGGGTATCAATGTAACTGCATAAACCGCAGCAATAATGCACAGTGAAATCTTTAAACTGTGTCCACTTTTATATTGTACACACGGTGTATAAAGAGTATACCTTGAAATTAAGGAAACAATAATAGTGTAACACTGTAGATTTATTATACCACTATAAAAAAAAATCAAATAAGAAACTCTTACTAGATAAAATGGTGGTGTTTATTTCTAAGCACCACTGAAACAGCAAAGGGTACACTTGAGCCAG